CCATTTACTGAGTGCTCTCGGCAACCTAAGGGAAGAGGCAGGCTCCACGCCAGATACAACATTACCTCGCTTAAATGGATGTGGTGCCTGGAGGGGCCGAGGACATACGCCTGGCAGGACACACACCGAAACATTCTTCCTGCAGTTCTTTGTCTTCTTTGCGCCCTTCCCTTTGCTGTATTGAACTTGGATCAACGTTGTAAAGATAACGTAAGCATAACTAGCTGGTAGGGCTGCAGGCTGGGTGCTGGGTGCTGGGTGGATCCCTTTCATCCCCAGGCTGTAGGAAGTCGGCGGGACTCAGGGTGTCACCGTGGGGAGAGGACGGAACCCAGTGCTGTGGTTGCTAAGCAGCACCCACGGGATGGTATCGGAGCAATGTCGTTGTGGAGGGCCAACCCACGATTTTGTGCGAGTGTGTGCATATCCAAGTATGTTTATGTGTGAGGTGTGTGTACGTGTGTGTGCTTGTGTGAGAGTGTGCAAACACTTGTGCATGTGTCAGTGTGCACACCTGAATGTGTTTACGGGTATACACAGGCCTGGGGATATGTGCATGTGTGAGTGTGTACATGCACGTGTTATGTGTGCACACGTGTGCATGTGTGTGCCTGTGTGTGTGCACATGTGCATACACGTTCACAGACACCAGTAGGGCAGCCAGGGTGTGCTTTCTCAGCCTGCTCCTTCTTCACCTGGGCCCTCCTTGCAGGGCATTCTGGAGGTCACACTTGTGCTGCCTTCCTCCCCCCGGGCCTGAGGATTGGGCTGGTGGTGGTGGGACTGGGGGAAAGCCGAAGATTGGTGACCTGTAAACACACTTCTTTAATGCATGCTCAGCACTTTGTAGCAGGAAGCAGAGGTGCACAGGGCTGGTGGGAGGTGTGGGAGAGGACGGGGACAGGAAGCCATACCCAGATGGTCCCTGGAGGACTGGGAGCCGCACCCAGATGGCCCCTGGCTCCTGGGCCGCCCACTCAGCTCTTACCGTGCCAGGGCCCCTCCAGGCCCAGAACACCACAGCGGCAGAACAAAGTCCATTTGCTGTGGTGTGCTCACTGCAGAGGGGAGACAGCGAGCCAGCAAGGTAAATGAATAAAAGACATAGTGGGTGAGGCAGCAATAAACACAAGGGAGAAAAACAAAGGGGGTGAGAGTGATGGGGTGGTGGGGTAGGGATGACATCGCAAGCAGGGTTGGCGAGGAGGCCTCACTGAGTGAGAAACAGTGGCGGGGCGGGGGTAGATGAGTAGGGACTTGTCAACCATGGCCAAGGCTTTAGATCTTACTCTGCACTGGGATTTGGGTGTCTTGTGAATATTCTAGAGTCCCTGGCTGATTGGCTGCCAGTGGGTGGCCCGTGAACACAGGTCAGAGCCCATCCTTGTCCATGCCTTGGGGCCTGTGGACAGACCTCCTGCTAGGTTCTCCTGGCTGATGGAAGAGGAGCAATGGCCCAGGCCGGGGGAGGGAGCCAAGCTGTGCCTCTGGGGAGTTACCTGGGGTGGCTGCGAGCAGAAGGAGCCTGTCATGGATTGAACTGTGTCCACCAAAAATGTCTACTTGGCTAGGCCATGATTCCCAGTATTGTGTGATTGTCCACCATTTTGTCATCTGATGTGACTTTCCTATGTGTTGTAAATCCTATCTCTATGATGTCAATGAGATGGGATTAGTGACAGATGTATTAATGAGGCAGGACTCAACCTACATGATTAGATTGTGTTTTAAGCCAATCTCTTCTGAGATATAAAAAAAAGAAGCGAGCAGAGAGACGGGGGACCTCATACCATCAAGAAACAAGAGCCAGGAGAATGGGGTGTTCTTTGGACCTGGGGTCCCTGCGCTGAGAAGCTCCTAGACCAGGGGAAGATTGATGACAAGGACCTTCCTCCAGAGCCAACAGAGAGAGAAAGCCTTCTCCTGGAGCTGGCACCCTAATTCAGACTTCTAGACTATGAGAGAATAAACTTCTCTTTGGTAAAGCCACCTGCCTGCAGTATTTCTGTTACAGCAGCAGTAGATGACTAAGACCGAGCCCAAGGGCTAGAGCTAAACTCTGCTCCAAGCGAGTAGCAAGTGTCAAACCCTGAAATACCAGCATGCCCTTGAGCCCAAGGGAGTGGTGGTTTGGCTCACAAACACCTGAGTGCAAAGCTGGGAAGAGAGACAGAGCCCCACAGGACAGAGACAGAGACGGAGCCAGACAAGGAGCTATAGGAAGGACACATCAAGCCTGAGTACCCTGGGGTTGGGTCAGACCTCAGAGACCCAGAGGGATGCGGCTCTGTGCTCTCTAAGCGTGTGGGGCTGGGAGTGTGACAGAGGAGACTGGGGGAGTGAGGGGAAGAAGCCCCCAATGCCAGCACCTATCACAGTAAGGGCTTTAGAATTGAAAGCTCTGGGTGCTGTTTTCGCCGTTTCCTAGTGGTGTGAATTTGGACATGTGACTTAAGCAGGGTTGCCCGGTTTAGCAAACACAAATACAGGATGCCCAGTTAATTCTTAAATGTGTATCCAAACATTGCACAGGACATAGTTCTACAAAAATAAAAATAAAAAAAAAAAGACTCATTGTCTGTCTGAAATTTAGATTTAGCTGGGCATCCTGTATTTTATCTGGCAATCTTACACCCTCTGTGTATCCATTTTCCCTTCGGTCAAAAGGGAATAACAATACTATCACGTGGTAGGAAACAAAAAAGCCCATTTGAACTGGTTTAAAAAATAATGGGGGATTTATTGACTCCCTTGATGGGAAAGCCCTCATAATGTGGACTTCAGGCATGGCTGGATCCAGAAGCTTGACAATGTCAACCAAGTCTGGATTTCTTTCATTTCTCCTGTTTGCTTCCTGAGGTGTCTGCTTCATCCTCAACAATGTTCCCTTATTATTAAAAAATGCTGCTACCAGCTATCTGCTTCCTCTTTCACGTCCAATAGGAAGAAAGGATTTATTTTCCAGTATCTCTCTCAGAAGTGCTGGGAAGTGCCAGCTCTCTCCTCTCCCAAACACCTCCAGCCTCATGGCCTTGATTGTGCCAGAAACCCATCCTTGAACCAATCCTGATGGTCAGGGAATAACATGTGCTGATTAGCCTAAGCCAGCCTGATCCCACCCCTGGAGCTGAGTGGGGTTAGCTTCCCACAAGGCACCAGGGCTGGCATAGAAATGAGGTGGATACTCGAATAGATACCAGGACACTGTGACCAAGGGGCTGGGGAAAGCCTCCCAAAAGAGTCTCGGGATGAAATGAAGCAGCCTGACACGTGGGGGAGTGAAGAGTGTGGAGGGGGTCAGACAGTGCCAGTCCTCTGGCTTAGTCACTGCCCTTTCTTCCCCATCCTCTCCATGCCTCTGTCCTTCTCCAGGTCAGGATGTGACTCTACCTCAGCCATGTTATCACAGCCAAGAGTCCCCTCTGGGAGACATAAGCAGAGCCCCTGTGCTGGCTGTGCCTGTGCCCTGGGCAAGGCCCCACCCCTCTCTGGCCTCCACTTCTCCATCTGCACTATGCGTGTGTGTGTGCGTGTGTGCGTGTGTGTGTGTGTGTGTGTGTGTGTGTGGGTGGGT